AAAAAAAAAAAAAAAAAAAAAAGATCTCCCAACAGCGGAGATTTCCTATCCATTCCTTCCAGTGGAGCCTCCCATTTTATGAAGAAATTTCCACTCAGGTCTGTTTTTGGAGGTGGCACTCAAGATTGTGTGAATCAAATTTGTCTATTTAGAACATTGCAATAGAAATCCGACGAACATGACTACTTGCACGTATTTAAATAGCATCATACTAGAACTGAATTTTGTCTTTATTATTTTTAAAGAAAAGTTTTGTAAATTTCTCTATTGTCTCAGTTTACATTTTGTACATTTGTATTTAAATGAAAGTCGGACTTTGGGGGTGTATATTTTCCGAGCAGCAGCTGTAAAGCCATGTGTTTTAAGACATTTTTTAAAAGAAAAAAAAAATCTGACTCAAGACTTCCAGAGCCTCAAATAAGAAATTGTTCTTTTTAGTGAGTATAGAAAAATATTCATATTTCACTTTAGCAAATCGGTTTTATTGACATGCAGTTTTATGGCACAATTTATTCTAATTATTTTACGTCTTATATATTTGGTTTACAGCAACACTGCATACATTTTTCCTCTTTGTTAGTTTGTAATGTCTCATTAAATGCTAAAAGTCATGGTCAAGACTTCACCACATCTAAGAATACTGTTTGCTGCATCTGAGGTTTGTAATGTCGTGGGACCAGCACAGTTGGGATTTGCATTTAGTTTTGTCATTAGGTCCTCACAATATTTATTGTGTTAGATCTCTCTTTTAAGCCCTTCTCATTTTTTCTTTTTACTATTGCTACTGGGAGGAAGAAAAAATGCTAATGAAGGGAAACAAAGAAGACAAGTTATCAGTTCTTCAGGGAATTAATTTCTGCACCCACTGAAATTAATAGCAAAGCAAATTGATTTCAGTGTTGCAAGCCAAAAGTCAGAGACTGTATCACAGCTGAGCTCATGGCTAAGTGATTTACTCAATAATTTTGTTTGTGCTGACCGTGGAAATCATAATGTCACCTTTCTGGAAAAGAGAGTCAAGTGTGACAGTTCAGATGGGGATCTGAACTTGTTTGGATCCAGTATCTCTCTTCTGGCTCGTTTCCACTTTCAAGTGGGCAGTAATACATCCCGTGATTCGTTCTGTGCTGTCATGTTTGAATTGGGGTGTCAAAATGGCTCCTTTCCCAGCGTCCTCAGCTAGTGCTGAACTTCAGAGTTCAACATCTACTGTAAACTAGCATAGTTTGCCCCTTTAACAGTTCTCGAGTTTAATGTCTCAGGCCATCTTTCCATCATTGTTGACAGCTGTCCCACTGGTATAGACAGGATCAGGAAGATTTGAAATCATGCTATACAAAATCATGCTATATAGTAGCACATCTGTCTTCAATATGGGATGTTAGATATCAAGCACTGCTTCATCCTTTTCACCTGGTATTGGAAAACATTTATCCCACTGGTGTTGACAGGGTCAACTGAGCTTAGTGTCATGCCTTTTTGCAGGCTTGCTGAATTCAGCTAACTACTGCTGCCCCTTTAGGACAAGCAGGGAAACCCGACATCCAACATGACATGTCTAAGAAGTATGTGATTTATAGTATTCTTATCCAGGGAAATGAAGTAAGCATCTTTGTACCAAGAGCACTTGTAGCTATGGTTCCTTGGACTGTTGTGAACCTAATTCCCAGGGTTTATGCAGAGAGGGCAACAGAAGATTTGCAGGGTTTTAGAGGCAAAGCCATAAAGGATGAGGACTCAAAATAATGGGTGTTCAAAACAACTTAGGGTCCAGAAGGGTCAGAGAAAACAAAGTTTCTGTAAAGCAGCTAATGGATAATACTGAAGGATGAGACAGGCTTGAGCCAAGCTTACGTACATTTGTAATGGGGCACTGTATGGCACATAGCAGAGGCACCTCACAAGGCAGCTGGTAAGACTGACTTTCCAGTCCCTAGGAAAGATGCAGCAGATTGGGATTGTGTGTGTGAATGATCCAGAACATCAGTGAAGATTTGTTTCCCCTTTTCCTTTTGACTGGTGTCTTGGAAAGTGGAGAGGACACAGAGGATTTAGTCCCATGCTGTGTCAGTGCAAACACCTCCCAGTGCAGCTCTGACCACGAGTCCACTGCAGATTTCCGCAGCGGGGAAAACTAATGGAAAGAAAATGCTGCAAATACAAAGTAATTTCCTGCTGCCAGCTGGTCGCAACAATTTCAGCTGGCTAGTAGTCACAGGGCACTTTGAAGTGCTGTCTGAGTGAAAGCCCACTGAAGGGAATGGGAATCTATTCATTGAATTTAATGGCTTTTGGATCACGTCCTTAATGTAAGGCCTAGGTACCCTGGAGCGCCTTCTCCAGGATGTGTACCAGGGGAAGGCGGGGATGGCAAAGAGTGGGGATTTCACCTGGTTTTAGAAAATATAGGGGAGAATTGAAGGTACAGGCCCAAAGATCTGTGGCCACGTTGCTGTACTGCTAACGTGTTTTAGAAGCTTTGTATGCCAAATTTCAATTACTTTGCCTAATGTTTTCCTAAGGAGACATGTTTTAGACGGTAGAAGCTGATGTCCTTTAGCAAGAAATGCACCTGCTTTCTCACCTGCGCTGTACATCAGGGCCCTCTCAAAGGGGCTAATTCTAAGCACAAAACTAGGCAAGACAATGCAGCCTGGGGGACGGCGCATGGGCAGACGGTCTGTTTTGAGCTGCGCTACTCACTTTTTTGTCGTGTTCAATACCCCTCTCTCTCTCCTTCAGAGAAACGTTGACAGTAATGTTTACCTGCTACCCAGGACGGGGTCTGTGAAGCTTAACCCCTAAAAGCGCATAAAGCGTTTTGGAGCCCCGTGGATAAATGGCAGTATAAAGGGGCCCAATACAGTTTTTGCTCTAAGACCTCAAAATGCTACATTTTAACCATTTGGCTCATGACGGGTTTAAGTTCCCATTTCGGTTTTGCCACCTTATATCTGGACAGTGGGTTAAGATCATGATTACAGCTCATCCTCCACTGCAGGGTGTTTGTTGAGGCTAAATATGGAGTTGACAGCACTGGCTGAAAGGAAGGTCGTGAGTGGCCATAACTGTGCCAGCTGTGCTGACTGCCAGTCCAGGGACTCTCCCGACCGGGGCTCACCTGCTTCCTCCTTATTTTTTGTTAAGAGTCTCACATCCCACTTGAGACTAGGTTGAGACCACACTGCAGTTATTTCAGCGATGTGATCTGATTGAAATTTGAATAGATCTAGATGGTTGCAACCAGTGAGTCAATTCACTGCACAACCTAACGCCCCCTCGGAGTTGGAGCCTAACCCTCAGAAGTGGTGAATACTCACGGCTCCATTTAAAGTCGGTAGGAGCTGTAGGTGTTCAGCACCTCCTATCATTTCTTCATGCTGCTTTGGACGGGGCTTGCAAGAGAGAGTTTGGTGTTCTGAATCATAAGGAATAGCTTTGAAGCGGGTTTGCATATAACAAAGAAACAAAAATGAATAATTTTGAATAGTTTTCTAGTGCATGACTGATTCATTTTGTCTATCATCTTTCCAACTAGAGTGTTGTTTCTTCTAGAAGGAGCACGACATTAGATCTAGCTGAATTATGAATTTTGAATAGATGACCAAGGAAATTTAGCTCTCTGTAATATTTGGAAAAGATTTGCAAACTTATCCTGAATGTTTATTTGTAGGTCTTCACCAGGCAGTCTGAAGAACAGTTTTCAGCCTAAGTTGTTTTTCTTTGTATGAACTGTCTAGTTCAGCTGTTTGCTATTTTATTATTCTTGGTGCGTGAGAGAGTCACGCAGCCTGTTCCTGTTTTTTCTTTGGATGGCTGAAACTTTTCAAATGTGAAACTAATAAAGGATCGGTGGGAGAGGATACTCTGCAGGGTGCCCGTCTCCCCAAATGAGGTAGTTTGTGCAAAACCTGCCAGTCCTCAGCGATTGATCTGAAGAAAAATAGCTATTCTTGCTAGTGAAAAAGGGGCACAGAGATAAACACCCAATCAGAGCTCAAATGAACATTTGTGAATAGCACTCTTGTGGTCTTCGGCTAGCTCTTCTGAACACAGATCCTCACAAAGGTTTATTCAGTCGCCACTCCCAGATTTTCAAAGAAAATATGCAATGTCCTTAAGGTATATTTCATGTCATCAGAACTGGTGATCAGCTCCACCCTCAGTAACTCTGTCCAGTAGCATTGTAAGAAATATGTAGCCAAACTTTGATGTTACTGGTGTCTTATCAGACCCCGATGCTTCTTGTCTGCTGCAGGGTATATGTGAACTGAACCGCACATAACCCAGTTGGGAGCGTTTCTACCAGCAGCTGTCATGTTTCAGAGTCAGATTCATTTGGTATCTTTACTTTCTCCACCTTTCAGTAGACAATCCTCAGATTCTGTAGTAAAAATGAAACAAAAAGTAGGGGAAGGGAGAGATGGACTCCTAAGCACAATTTATGAACTAGGTTATTGTGCATGTAACAAAGGCAGTTGCTGTTTACTTTCTTTCAAAACTACCACGTTCTGCCTTTCCACATCATCTATAACCCGTTTTTAGGGTGAATTGGATCACAAAAACAAGGCCATAGCCTAAGCTTGTGTAAATCGCTCTGAATGAGCAGAGGTGCTGGCCCGAAGATCAAGCAGAACTCAGTTCCTATGAGCTCAATGTAGGCCCCATAACAAGTTGAAGAGACGAGCAGCTATTCATTCACCTGGACAAAAAAGCATGGATGTTGGGTCTATGTACCCACAGATCTGGACCTCTAAAGTTCCCTATAAAGGTTTTTTTTTTGGAGGAGGAATCAAAAAACTGCCTGAGAAACAAGGCAGCTACTTTCCCTAGCACCATTCCAGTGCCTAAAGAAGGGGAAGAGGGAAAGATGGCCCTGCATGTGATGGGAAGCAACGTGTCTGCAGCATAA